CTGTACTTTAATTTTCTTACCATCCGATTTATTGATGTAAACTCTGATTTGTCTACATCTGTGTAATTCTCAGGTTGTTACTGTTAGAGGAGATATTTCAGATTCTATAGTTCCTGGACTAATGGCTGCAGGAGAAGCAGCATTTGCATCTGTTCATGGCGCGAATAGACTTGGTGCAAATTCACTTCTTGATATTGTTGTTTTTGGCCGAGCTTGTGCAAACAGAGCTGGTAATCAATTCATATATTTCTAGCTCTGCAGTTTGATAGAAGCAAGTTTTTATCTCTGAAGGGTCTCTGATTTATGGTGTTTATGTAGGCGAGAAGCTGAAACCGCTAGAGAATGATGCGGGTGAGAAGAGTATCGAATGGTTAGACCGAATAAGGAACTCAAATGGGTCACTTCCAACTTCTAAAATCCGTTTAAACATGCAAAGAGTAATGCAAAACAATGCTGCTGTCTTCCGTACACAAGAAACACTAGAGGAAGGTAACCAACACAGAAACTCATTATCTGATTTAAAAAAGTCTCTCACGACGTTTTTAGAGTGAATCTAATCTAAAACTTCATTTTGTTTTCGTTTTTGGGGTATAATGATTATAGGTTGTCATTTGATTGATAAGGAATGGGACAGTTTTGGTGATGTCAAAGTGAAAAATCGGAGTTTGATATGGTAAGACTATACTATTTCTCGTTGGAAGAAAACGTTAACTTTAGGCTAAGCACTAAAGCTCTGTTTTGGAAACTTTACATTTTAGGAACTCGGATTTGATAGAAACTATGGAGTTGGAGAATCTATTGATAAATGCATGTATAACAATGCATTCTGCTGAGCTAGGAAAGAGAGTCGAGGAGCGCATGCTCGTGAAGATTTCACGGTTAGTTCTATATGTTCCTTACATAACAAAATCGTCCCATTCGATATGTCGATAAAAATGAGGACTTTTGTTATGGTTGTTTTGCAGAAACGTGACGATGAGAATTGGATGAAGCACACATTGGGGTAAAACAAAACAAAAAAACTCTCTTTTATATCTTCTTAGAATATTTTGGCAACAATAGATCAAATATTAGTCTAAGTAGAATACCATTGAGAGGTATACTCATGTTTCATAGTTGCTAAAATGATTTCGTTAATTTAGAAATGTAATTATGTGTTTAAGGTGTTGACCGGTGCACATGAACACATTGGACGATGAGGTTGACACTTTCCCTCCTAAAGTTCGTGTTTATTGAGTTCACCTTTTTTTTTTCTCTATAATAATGAAAAGTATTTTAAAATTATTATCCCATTGAATAACTGTTTTTGATAAGATTAGGGAGAAGTGAATTAGTAACTATTTCGTAAGAGAAAAAAAATATGATATATTTGTTTGTAACCAATAAAAAAGAGTGTGGGTGTATGTTATTGTTCTCATTTGTTTTCAGAAGTGAAACTTCACTTAACACACAAATTGTACACTCCAACGTGATATATTTTCTAAGATTTATGATATTTTTTTTCTTTTAAGTCTTTTTAGAATTTTTATATATATTGGATCGAGTCTATAATTGGCACAATGTACAATGTCGAAGAGAAGGCAAATCCAAACACATCTCCATAATAATCTAACACGTGTTCTGGCTTTGATTCATCGTTATCTCTTTGAGATAGTTTTTGTAATTGGGCTTCAAGTACTGGACTTATGTAAATTTTACCTGTAATAAACTTTTGGCTCTTCATCTTAATAGCCCGTCCATAGTTAGAATTATTTTTAAGACTTTTTCTGTTTTAATAATGAAACCGCCTCGCTTTAAATGAATAATAATGACCCGAAAGGCACGCAATGATCCACGCGGTCGATTTATAAGCGTTGATATGTTATCTAACCGTTTAATCTGAACCGTCCATCCTTCTAACCTTCTGTATATAAAAGCTTACACGTTGAATATTTTCTAGGGTTATCTCATCTCCGCCTCCTTTCTTCCTAATCTCTTCCTTGTTTCCCCAAAATTGTTGTCTTTCGTTTTCTTTAGATCTCGCTTCTATGGCGACGAATCTTACGTTTACCGCGTTTGTTTATCGTAGAGATACTTCCGATCTACACAGCGGTGTAGTTTTCCGATCGGTTTTGTGAATCCGGTGACGTAATCGCCGTTTAGACCACTTTATTCGCTAGATCTGACGCAGATCTTGCTCTCTCTAAAGGTGAATCGTAGTTCGTTATCTCTTATTGTTCGTTTTTCTTCGATTTCAAGCTTTGTAATCGGATCTGGTTATTTATTGGTTAAGCAGATCTAGCCTTGGGATCTTCTCGCCGAGGCTTCGTGAGATTCGAGAGATCTGTGAATCGGAGACGTATAAAGCTGTGGGACAATCGGAGACGAATCCGTTCGGGTTGATGTGTGTATGATGAATTGAATTAGGATGTGTAAGATGTTTTGTGTGGAGGCTTATGGCTTTTCACTGATTGCATCTTTGTCATCCGACCTTTGCCATGTCAGGTGCGCTTGCATGGCAGGTCGAAAAAACTCAAAATCTTCAATAAAAAAAGTATTTTTGTGGGGTTTTGGAGAGGAGTTCGCACGGGTCATTATTTTTTTCCCGGGTTCTCCTCTCCTATGTGCGTGTCGTGTTATCCTTCTTTACTTCTCTTGCTTTCTACTATGCATCAGAAAATAACTTGTTACTGTTAAAAACTGTGAAAACACAAATCGAGCATATCAGAGCTTGTCACCAAGTCGGAGTCGTCGATGACATCCTTCTTATATGCCATTCAAAATCTTCCGTTGACAGACCCACAGGTATTCGTGAGTAATACTATCCTTAATTCCTTTTCAATTTTCTTCATCTCCACAACGCACTTGAATATCTAATTCTTATAAAGAAAATCTATCAGAGTTGGCAAAATAATCTTCCAAATTTTGTAACTTTCGTTTTAACTTACGTTTGGTATTGAAAATTATTAAAGTATGCATATGCTGTTGATCGAATTATTAGTGTGTATATTTTTAGGTCCTTGTTAGAGATGAAACGTATTTTTTAGGAGTTGTGTTGTTGTAAGCATAAAATTTGAGTATAAATGTTGAAAAGTGAAGAATGCGTATTTGGGAAAAGTTGTTTGGAATTATTTTTGTAGTAGCAAGTGATTCTCCCGTTGTTGCCTGATGATCTTTGATGTTGGAGAAAGCCAAGTGATTACTCAGTTGTGGTCTTGTGAAGATGGAAACTTAGAGAAGATACCTGTACCTGTCGATGATGCTCTGGTGGATGATTGAATGTGAAGGTATCTATGATCAGACCAATTATTTGATTGTCCATGTATATTTTACATGAAATGGTGTTGACTAAAATTCTGTATATCTTTTTATACAACGTTAAACGTTGAACCTCTCTTATGCTGTCCATAATGGTAGTTATTGGATGCTGGATATGTTGATTCCTGCAAATCAATCCCGTAATTCTGACATTTCAATTGATGCGTAAATTATCGAGTGCAGAGTTTTTACTAAGCTCTTGGCTTTCTTGAGTAATGTTGGGTTGTTGTATATCAATTTCCAAGATTTGCAATGGTATTAGGTTGTAAACAAGAGGATAGAGGTGTTTCCACTCGCAAAACCTCTCTTTGCAAAATCATTGGAACATAACCGAGGTGAAAGATTTGTTATTAGTAGTATGAGCTAGTTGGATAAATAGATTCTCTTTTCATAATAAATCTGTAAGCTCAAAATGGTAGAGCGCTCTTCTTCTTTTGAGGTTGAGAGGTTGGTGGTTCGAGTCCACCCAGATTTGCATCATTTTTCTTGTTACTATGTAATTGTTTAAGTATATTTTGTTTTCGAGATGAGAGTAGAAGATTTCTTTTACTTCCATGTTTTATGTCTGGTAATTCTTCTAGTTTAAATCACCTTCTTGTTATATCTTGAGTCTGTATGTCTCGTCTTTGGTGCCCTATGAGCTTCTAGTGTAGTTATGCAACATTAAACATGATTTCATATATTTTCGCCTCTACTGTAATGACAAAATTTGTTTGCAACTTGTTGGAAATCATATGCAGTGGTTAGAAAAATTGGTTTTACGACTTTTCCATTTTTCTCTTTAAAATGCTCGTACTTTTCATATTTTAAAACCTTTTTTCCAATTCTCACAACAATGTTTTTAACTTAATTCATTTCCATAAATATTCACTCTCCAACCAGTCGCACCAGTGCCTTTATTATTCCATGGACCAGTTTACCATATAGACAGGTTTTTATTAATCAATGCGAATGATGTGTCTGTGCTATTGGACGCAACAACGACAAAGTTTAACCTTTTTTCAGGCGGAGTTGGAAGTTTTTTGTTGAGTTATGCGATTGCAGAAACACCTAAATTGTAGAATCATTTAAGATTAGAGTCATGAGACCTAAATTGTAATGACTACAAACTCGATTGTAAACTATTCTTAAATACTAGTATTAAGCTTTGTTATTTTTTTTGTTTTTCTGTTTGATATTCAGTTCACTCTCTTAATGATACAATTTTAAGAC